GGGTGCGCGCGCACACACGTACATAAGCGGAGGCGCCGCGCTCCGGGCGTGCCCCGTGTGGCGTCTCTACTCCCTTCCCATGCCGAGATCATGCGTCCGTATCGGCGGGCGCGCGCGCGCGTGCATGCACCGGGCGCCGTCCAACCCCCAACCTCTCCACCCATATGCTCGATCTCATCTGCCCAGCCGTACGTACCCTTAACTTGAGCATGCGTTTCCCATGCCGCCGCGCGCGGTGCACGCGGCCGCCATGATCTCGCCTGTACGTGCGTGCTCGCGACAGAGCTAGCTAGCTAGCTAACCGGGTACTGGCTACCTAGCTCGCGCGTCTCTTCTCCCTCCCATGATGATCAACAAGCGCGCCCTGTTCACGTGCACGCACGGACGCACGGACGCACGGCGACACATGTGGCCATGTGGGTGACATCCATGCGCCGGCCCGGCCGGTACAGCGACGCGTACGGCCGTTGGCACGCAGCGCTCGCCCGGTCCACGATGCACGGCCGGTGCCGGGTGGGTTTGGGAACCGGTGAGTGGTGACCGATGGACGTGTGCGTGTGCGTTTGTCCGCAGCGGCAGCCGCGGCTGACTCGTCGCTACCTAGCTATAGCTTCTGCCTGACGAGAAATTAATCAGGGCAGGCCGCTAGGACCTAGTAGGAGTAACTTGATTGCAGACTTTGGACCGGACGGCGTCTTGTCCCGTCTCGTCCGGGGTCGCTGTGTAGCAGGACCATACATTTGTCCCTCTCACGCACGCGTCCGTGACATGCATGAGAGTGAGCGAGATCGACAGATATCGACCGGAAGGAAGGGACCGTGCGTGGTACTGGTACTGGTATCCTGCTGATCGGTCGATCAGTGGTGCACCGAAAGATGGAGCCGTCGTGCGTGCCGACTCCGACACGGGAGAGCCGACCGCGTGCATGCCGACGCGGTCACCGCCCTGTGCGCCGGCCTCGCTCTGCCACATGCATGCACGCCATGCCATGGCATCCGAGAGTCGTCGTTCGTGGGGGACAACAACAGTACGGGCGCACAGCGCCGGCCGCTGGCCGGCCCGTCGTTGAATCACCAACGTGCCGTCGCTCTGGCGCCGTACGCAAGCTCTGACCTCCGGCCGCGATCGATCGATACGCGACGGCCGGTGGCTTCGACAGCGCACGCCCTATATGAATAGCTAGCTGGCTAGCTTTCGTACACTTTCTCGATCGCCGTATGCATGGATGGATGGATTGGATCATTGCATGGACGACGTGGATGCCGGTCCTCCCACGCCTCACGTCCCACTCCTACATGTGCTTCCTTTGCATCAGTCTTCGTTGTAAATCTTCGTTCTTTGGAGTACATGCGATTGTGATCAGACGTGTGGCGGCGGATTGGATCTGAGCTGATTCGGTCTATCTTGCATTCTGTCATTTGATGAAAGATGCATACTTGTTTCCACGTCGCAAGGGCGGGAGGATCTGATACGGTCCTCTCTTTCTAGCTTCCTTACTGTTTTTTTTAGGGAAGCTTGCTTACTGTTCTCAACCTCTTATTATCAGGGCTCCCTAAAAAAACCTTCTTATTATCAGGGCAACTCACCGTCTAAAAAAAACAGGGCCACCCGCAAAAAAAAAAAAGGCAACGCAGAGGAAATTCCCAAAAAATACATTCCTCATATAATGGTTACTATAAAAGAATCTCTTTAATTTTGGGGCATTGAGTTTTTTTGATCTCGAGCTCACATGCCCCCCGATGAACGGGAGAAAACCAAAACAATCTGTTTTTTGTTTGTGAGATTATTGTGAGATTGCGTGCAAAATTTCATGATTAAATAAAATTTATGGAGGTCTTTGAAAATAAAACGATGCTCCATAAAGATTATTGTTGAAAGCTGTTTGGAATATCAAACAAAAAAAATTGCACAGGCCTCCACAAATGTCATTTTTCTCACAATTTTTTGCAATTTTTACTATTTTTTTCAATTTTACTCTTCACGGGGAAGCATGTGTGCTCGGATAAAAAAACACTTTTGTAGTTTTGGGGGTTTTGTTCAAGTAATGATGCTATAGCAAATTCCTTGTATTCCTTTCTCTTTCATCTCTCTACTCTTTTGTGCATATGATTTTTATTTTAAATTTATTGTCCCCATCATATGGAGACTAAACGAAGAAATTTGTGTACATAAGACCAAAGATGTTCCAAAACTTTCCATCTCGTGGCATGCGGATAACGAAACAAGAGCCGATCTGGAATACGATGCGAAGAGGAGATGGTACTTTTCTTATTGATGGAGGAGTTCGAGTCTGGTTCGGTTTTCTGCTCCACTTGGAGGCTAGGACAAGATGCATAGACCCATAGGCCTAGGAGAAAAACTCAAACATCTTCTACGTCATCAACTGCGCATGAAGTCACATACCGATTCAAGAGCTCTAGCCGCTAGGGTTTTAGCTTTGTTGTCCACTTGTCCTTGTATCGCTCTCACCTCCATGTTTTTTACTACGTGTGCCGCCGTATACATGGTTTGAAAATTTCGTGCATCGACAACATGAATGCAAATGACTTGAATATTATCAGGATAAAATAAGATATAGAGTAAGTGAACTCACGAATTATAACTTGAGACCAATATGAAATACTTAGAGAGAACCAAATACTATCTTATCATAGAATAAGTTTTTTTTTTCAAAGAAACTACCCTGACCTACAATTCGGGCTTCTCCGGAAAAATTATTAGTGCGGTTGAACTACTTACACGCGAAAGGTGTTAAGAAGATCATGACTTGGGGTGTACATGTCTACTGAAACACCAAATGATCATGGGATCTTGCAACGACGGAAAGTCTTGTACAAACCTATAAATGATTCAGAGGTAAACACTGGTTTGAAATATCTCCATCTCCACTACTATTAAACAATCAAACAAAAACTTTCTTACGTGCACCCCGCGAAACGTCCACGGACACATCACCACCACACGATGAAGCCCACGTGACCCAATCTAACAACCATCATTAATTTATTAGAGATCTGGTGTGCGCCTAGCAGTTCACGTAGACTGACCGTACTCCACCAGATGATTCGGCAGACTAATTGAGGGACTTCAATCAGCTTTTAATGTCACGGCTGATTTGCTTCCAAAATCCATCATTCGGTTTCCAAATGAGCCTGATTTCTTCCCGGGTCCCCCCATAAATACCGCAATTAATCCCACATCCACCGTCCCACCTGACTCTCACCCCCATCTTGACTGCCTCCGCGAGGCCGCCACAGCTCCATTGCCGAGCTAACCACGCCCCTCGCTGATCCGGTTCTCTCCTTCAGCGATCTTCCAGTCCCACTGCGGCCGTGAGATTCACCGCGCCGGTGTGGCATCCCTCTGGTGGTTGCGCCTGCCATTATCCATGGTACAAGCTCAGAACCCCCCTTGCCTTCCTGTTCCTCTCCCGTGTTGGTGTCCTATGTGCCACCCATGATGTTCTCTCCTGCATGGACATCCCAAAGACGCTCTTAGGTGGCACATGTGCTGGTCCTATTGCTGCGTGTGATGTGCCTTGCTGCTAAGCGTTGATCCAGTTTGTAAGTTTTTTAGTCCAATCCAGTTTGTAAGGCTTTTTTTTAGCCCAATCCAGTTTGTAAGTAGTGCTACGTGAGAGATGATCAGATGAGACGGGCCTGATAATCTTGTTGCTGCTGTTGTACTACATGTCCATCGGGAGCAAGGTTAGGAGAAAAGAAGAGAAAAGAAGCGGCGAAAGTGACACAGTCCAGTACAGATCTCGCATTGAATCCTCCCCTATAAGGGTAACATTCTCTCATTTGGATTGATTAATGTTGGAAATTCTGTTTTTCTTCTAATTTTAATCCTTCATTCAGGTATGCATCTAATCAGTTGTACTGCATCTAATGTACATATGCTGTGTGGCAAAAAGATGTTTGTAAACTCAAATACGTATGCTTCGGATGTGTCTAATATATGTTACATTAGCACCAAATTAGCGCTTCTCATTAACCATGCTCCCATGATATCTAACATATGCTTCTAATACAGAGATCTAATGTGATCGCGGACATTAGAATCTTACACCCATCTCGGCAAGCATGCAGATTTCTCAAATCTAATCAGTTGTAGTGTCAAACCATTGCTTCGTATTAGCCTTGCTTCCTACTTTTTTTATTTATCACATCTTTTGTGCTTCACCCACTACCGGCATGTGCTTTAGTCGCTGCCAGTGTTGCTTCCTGGAGTGAATTTTTGACACAACCATTGCCTGTGTGAGCACTTCATTGTTTCCCATTGATGATTTTACTATGCAGGTTTCTCTGCCTACAACCTGATGCATTGTAAAGATGTCGAGTACGCTACCACCAAGATGTGGTGGTCTTATTGATGACGGCGAGCTCGCGTGCATGTGAGATAGTCCAGTCAGCGTGCTTGCGACGCTAACTAGACGGGTGGAAAATAATGTTGTTGTGATAGCAATTTTTATTTCTTAATAATTTTTAAAAATGAGGACATATGTAATTACCAGTTGCATATTTTGCCCAGCCCTTCATTGTCACCATGGAAGCAAATTCTCGATATAATTGAAGCAATGGTTCATTGTCGTGGAAGCATATCCCGTAACGGAAGCAACATGTGCTTACAACAGAACAAAAATTTCATTATATTCCAAGGAGATAGGAGTTTGCTTCCATCTGCCTATTCACAACACAAGCAGACACAAATTATTCGACACAAATGATGGTAACAATTTATATTATTATGGAAGCAAGTTGAGTCGATGATAGTATATTATAATTGAGTCGAATGTTGAGTTGGATAAATTTTTTCTTACATCGGGCTTGCTTGATTTGTATGGAGATACAGGGTTAATGCTCTGCCGAATATGCATGCAAGGCACTGTTTTGGATTGATTGGCATTTTATGGCAACCTTCAGATGTTGATGCAAAAGACAAGTGACATGTTACTGTTTTCATATGATCTATTTAATTAGCTTTTGTCCAATGTGGTCATGGCACAAGGCACAATTTTGCCAAATGTATTGCTTGATACAGGTAGGGAACATAAACACATCTACATGAGCTATTTCATTCTTTGCTTTGCTATTTTAATGCTTTGCTTTGCTAACTATTGCTATGTTAGTAACTTCCAATAGCATATGACATGAAATATTCATTGCATTTTATTTTATTTTGCACCCTGATCCACTCACCCAAGAAGGGGCAGTTATCCATGAGTAGAATCTTGGATTAACTTGTATCAATCTTGTTTTTGTAAGGATCGCAATGAAGCAAAGTAGAATCACAAGAGGACACAAAAGTTGTGTTTTAGTAGAACGTGTCATAGTCTCATCTTCGATAGTAATATGCAATGATTTTTTTGTAAGTTTAATATTAGTAGCACGTTCCTTGTAATTGGTCTACAGTGATGGCGGCAACACTAAGCTAGAACCCAATATTGACTCATTCAGCATGGGCATGCTGCTAGATATGCATGCATGTCAATGCTTGTTTTACATGGAGCTTCGTGATGTACATTGACCATGATGATCCTTTCATTTTTATTATCCAACTACTTATATTATTTTATCAGAACTTAAGGATTCACTGAAGCTTGTGGCTTTCGATTTTCTCATCGAAAACTACAAAGCTTCACTGAAGGGATGACACGACTTAAGTTCAAGTCATTGAGGGAGTGATAATTCTTACAGATCAAAGTAAACACCTATCGTATGTGGGTTTCAAAAATACAAAAGTCTGATAATAGACAAAAACACTCATCGTTCAACTTATTTGTATATTTTTATGAACTATATTATTAGTGACGCTTTGTGGTCAAGGATATAATTTTTTTTTCTGTGGATGAATTGAGTTATTAAATTTCATTCCAGGCTTGAGCATGACAATGAGTAGAGGTGCACAATGTGTGTACAAGATTGTTACACTATCATCTTAGCCCAGTTTTGCACAATGTGTGTATACCATGTTGAACGCTACTTCCAGTTCTTCTATTTTGTTATCATATTACTTTTGTTAATGTATCTTTTTCTTATTAATTTCTACACTGAATGTATGAAAAGATTGTTGTGGTTACACGGTCATGGTAGCACCAGTTGTATCTATAGATTGTGATACATGGTGATGCATCTTTGTGAGGTTAATCGTGTGTTGAGAAGTCCATTTGCAAAACTATATCTGCAAAGGCATAATTTCATAGAAATTAAGATTTGAAATAATTGTTTCCTAAGTAAGATAACTGGGGAAATTTCTTTCTATGATTATACGTGCGTTGCACGTGCACGCTTACTAGTGCACTTAAGCTCATGAAACTAGTCGTAAAATCAGCAAAGCGGCACACTACCCCACATCACATTTATAGTGAACATATTGAACGCAGTACAATACATAGCCCGCGGAATAACATCAAGAAGGTATG